AAAAGTGTGTTTAGTGACTGTCAATTGCCATAAGATGGCATCCTTGAAATCTAAGAGAGAATCTGTTTGAGAGTAAGTCAAAAACTTGTTCGATTTTTAAAAAACCTAAAACATGTTAGTTTTGCTATTTTCTCTATTTAATTACATAAAAACATCCATATTGCATGTTTTCAAATTATAATTTATTTAAATATTGTTATTTATAATTTCTGCGTGTAAGAGAAAAGTACGTTCCCATCTGCGTCTGTCAAAACCCCGTCTCTGTTCCTGTTTTCGACTTACTATGAAAAGGCTAAATCTCTAACATTTTATCTTTCATTTGAAGCATCTTTTCATTTGAAGTGTCACTATCTCACCTCACCTCGTCAAACAGCCATGAGTCACCTGTAAGACGATGCTAGAAACAAAAAACCTCCATGACATGAATCACTTTTCTTCTCTGACTTTTATCTTGCTGTCGTTCTTTGTTGTAGGTGTATATTCAGGATGCCAACGAATTAGAACAGGAATTTCAAAATCCGTTCTTTGCCTTGACAGTTGAATAACACTGAGTATTTTGCATTAATCTCACACTCCCTACGCCCCCTAGGGCTTTTGTAGCATCACTTGGATTAAAAACTATTTTTATACACCGAGAAGAAAAAGAGAAAGTCTTATAAATTATGTTTTAAATCAAGGCAAATTCTGCTGCACGTTAACATGATATATGTTTTAAGACTGAGGATCTCAATGTCATTAATCATCCGGTTAATGATTGCTCGATTTCAGTGACGTTTTCTGTGGCAAAATCTTTAAATTTGTGAATTAGATGAAATTAACTCACTTTAAGGGTATAGCTGGAACTTTTAAAGCCCGAATTTATAAAGTTGTGGTTTTTTTGCAATAATTACTAATAATAACTCTTATTTCCTTCTGTATACAGTAACTTGATTTTCACAGTAATTTGAATTCACATACTGTACATGAGTACCTATGTCTCTGCACCTGGTTCTGGCTAACTGGTCCTTAAAACAAAAAAGGTTGGGGATCTAGGACATATTTAGGAAAGAAAGAAACTGAAGGTTGAACAATCCATAGTACGGAGTACAACTGGTGAATGTAAACAAAGCCGTGTTCCTCGTACAGCAGTATGCGACTACATGTTCGTCCATTTTGTTGCCAACTTGTTCCTGTCTTAACTAGCTGGTATTTTGTAGTGTTGTTGTCAACAGTGTTTGGCTGTTGGTTATTTTTTATACCAGCAAATGTCATAAATATGACCTGTGTGTCTGCGTGCGTGTGTGTGTTTTTGTGCGTGTGACAGTGTGTGTGTGACAACACCTTGAATTTAAGGAGGAAATGATGAAAAACGTTGAAACACACATACTCTGAAGAGAGATTATTCAACAGACTTTAAATGTCCCGGAAATGTATTTTGTAAAAATTGAGATGGATAATAACTGCACGATAGATCATCAATTTTAGAAACAGTTTGGAGCTGATTTTAAAAGAAAATACTGTCAATATATATTCACCCCAAGCATATCTTGTAAACTAACAGAAAAGAAATGATGATTTACAGGGATGTTTTGCAGTAACAATGTTTGTTTTCTTACTGAAAACAACAGTGTTTGACAATGAAGATAAAATCATCAATCAAATGAACATTTTTCACGGTAAATGTTTTTCATTTATTTAGATCAAATACACATTAGAATGAATTTCCATCGTCTGCCATCCCTAGACTGTCGGCACTCCGGTCTGACAGGCAACACCTGCACTTCTTCACAAAGCAGGCAACATATGCAAACCTCCACTGTGAGGAATAATTAAAGTATGCCTCAGAGAGGATGGGCTGAATGATTCCATTTAGCAGGGCACTGTCCCTGTGATTGAAATCGTAGCAGACGAATATTTTTCATCTGTTATGTGACAGAGTGTGTAAAGAGATTAAAAGGGAAACCGCAGTAGTTGTCCATGTGTGACAGAAAACAGAAAATGTGCAGTAAAATGAATGATAAATAGACAGAGATGTGACTGTGATATAAAAAAAACAGGTTAAGTTAATGCGACTTTAATTCAAAGTTGATTCAAAATGTGTTTGAGACGCTTTTTGTTATAAAAGGAATAAAACATATAAATATAGTACTGTATACAAATATGTATACAAATTTAGTACTGTACATAGATCTACATATTTTTGGTAAATATTTCAAAATACTCGCCGTCAAATTTGGGAAAGTCAAAACGAAACGAAATTTCAGCTGAATCAGGAAACAGGAGTCAACAGGGAGGGAGGGTTTTAACTCACCTGTTGTAGAGGAGAATGTCCGGGACCCATATCAGGTTAGAGGGGAAGCGAAGGTTCTGAACGCCAGGGTAGTTCTCCTGGTTCCATGACAGGTACATGTCAGTCCAGGTCTATGAACACCAATGGACATACGGTCAGTAGATGACAGAGATTATGTTTCCAGACTAAAATAACACCATAAATCAGGCAGCCAATCAGGCGTGGACACATTAAGGGAAGAAATAAGTTATTACTCTAGAAATGAGTAATTGAATGACCAGTTGGTTGGTATTTAAACGGTTTCCCATGTATTCTGATAACATGTACACAGTAATGGTGCGTACTTGTAATCAATGAACTCATAACCTCTTCCTATTACATCGGCTAATGAGCAGACATTCCTGAAAGGTCACATGCTGCTATACAGTATGATAACATAGCGATAACAAACAAATAAAAATGTCAATTAAGACTCTGTTCTGCAGGGAAAATTAATAATTGTTATTAATAAAGTAAGTCACAAATAAAGCGAGTGATTGAAAGTGAAAGTCAAGAAAGTGTGCAATGTTTAAATCGTTGCAGTGCAGTGGATTTGAGTGTAGCCGTTAGCACGCCTGCCTCGGCAGCAGAGAGCAGGTAGTCCTGGGTTTGATTCCCATAAGAACCACATACTTGGTGCAGCCTGTTCTAGTAGGTCTGCTGTTAACACAGGAGTTTCCCAAGTGTGGGATCAATGAATATTATTATTATTAACATTATTATTGTTGTTGTTGGTATTATTATTATTAACACAAAAATCAAGGTTTCATTTTTGTCATAGTATTTTCAGTTATTCTCCTCAATGTGTGTGTATAGGTACATGTAGGCACTGTGATTGTACACACCGAAAATGCAGAGTAGTGATAATCAACCGGTGGCCCACGGGCCTAATGTGGCCCACCAAACCACCCAATCTGGCCCCAAGGCCCATTAATGGCCATAAATGCATTAAATTTTGTCTCAGAATAAAAAAAATATATAAGCAATAGATATCAAAAATATTATTAGATAAAAATTTGTTTCATTTATTTAAATGTCCGGTCCCCTGGGTGTGTGTCCAGAGAGATTCTGGCCCTCAGACAAGTATAGTTGGTGACCCCAACATTGATCGTGTAGAGCAGTGATTCCCAACCATTGTGCCGTGGCACACTAGCGTGCCGTGAGAGATCATTAGGTGTGCAGTGCAAAAGTAATAGGTCCGAAAACTATTATTTATTTATTGCAAATATTTTTTCTTTGTTCATCAATGTGTGACAGGCAGAGCAATTAGATCCTCTTTGTGTGTTTTTTTTCTTCAATTCCTGACAGTATATCATTGTGGTCTTTATCTAAACAGACTGAGATTTTAGTCAATTATGAAGTTACTTAAACTAGAAAGTTATTACATTTCATTATAAATACTTTTTGTGAGATTTTTGTTTGGTGGTATGCCGTGGGGTTTTTCCTGATGATATATATGTGCCGTGGCTTAAAAAAGGTTGGGGAACACTAGTGTAGAGTGCTGGAACCCATAATTGAATGCTGTTGCAGAGATTAGCGTGACGAGTGTGTTGGGTGAAGTGAGGACAGTATACGTACCAGCTGCAGCCAGGCATTGGTGATTAACACTTGGTTTTTTTCATCCTGGAAATGAAACAGAAGGGGGAAAAAAAGTCATCAAAGATGAGCTACATCTTCACACAGATAGAGAGAAAGAGAATAAAAATAACACTAAAGGGCCAAAAGAAAAAAGAAAAAAAAGTGCAGCGCTTGTTTTGTAAACGCAAGGTAGAATAATGAGACAGATTGACAATTATCTCTGTCCCAGATGGGTCGGAGCCAGTGTGTGTGCTGAATGACAATGACTGTGCAGCAGATTTGGACTGTTATCAGTTTTTTTTTTCTGACATGTTTCCAACAAGATTTTTGTGAGTGGATAAATTAAATACGTCAAACTGTGACGGATCAAACACAGCAAGTACAGTATTGTCGTACAGGAAGATGTTGATGAGACGGTATAATGTAAATTGAAGAGAAATGCAGTGACTTTTGATTCTCCTGTAGAGTATTTGTCATTGGCAGCTCTTAGTTAGGGGTCGAAGTCACAGATAAAAATAGTGAGTGAAAAGTAAAGATGGGAAGACTGACAAGAGGAGCAGTAGAGACGCAGAGAGCGTAAGATCAGAGGATGTACTTGGAAGTGCACAACAAGTTTGAGCACAGGTGGATTTTTCTACATCCTTCATCTATTTGAACTAAAAAAAAGTATCTATCACTTCAACTTTGACAGTTATTAGAAGCTACTTTGAAATTTTTCTTCAAACTGCTGCTGGACTTCAAACTCAGTTCTGATTAAGTCAAACTTGACTTGAACGCCTCGTACCTAGTGAACAAAGTTTTTTCTCTTCATTTTTTCCCTCTCTTTTCAACAGTGGCTACAGCTCCAATCTTATCTCCCCTGTCTTTTTCTTAAATCTCTGTCTACAATCTTTTTCAGTACTGTTGAAATGGAGCAGCCTCTTATTGTGCTCTTGACAGAGCAAGGTTTCCTGAACACCTCACACTGCAATCTCTTGTTCAATCTGTAGCTTTTCCTTTTGCTTTCTTTTGGCGTTGCCGTGGCATCTGTGCTCTGACCCCTCTATAGAAATGTTTTTGATGGATGCAGGGCGTTGTTGGTTGGAGGTGTTACTCTGCAGCAAAACACACCGTCGTCTCCGTTTCTTGATGTACTCTGCTCGGCTTTGATCAGTTTTAGATTCACAGAAAGAGGCCTGATTTGCATTTGTAGTGAAAAAGCCTCACAGCTGCCGATGATTTGGCCTTTAACAAACAAACACGTTCTTTGTATTTCTTTAGAAATATATGAAACATTAGGGATCAACAGGATATTTCATGCTGGATATTTCATGTATTGAAGGTGGATGATGGATTCAGTTAAGGACTGCAGTAGACTTATAAATTATAAAAATAAACTTCTAAGTCATCGCATAAAGTGCAGTTTTTACCACTATGTGGTGATGTGACGATTGAATCTCGTGACAGATGAGAGGGGTTTTGTTTTTGTTTCTTTTGCATCTTTTCATTAAATTTTCAAAAGACACACTCTCTGGAAGTCGTGTTCTGTCTAAAACACTGTAATTAAACAAGTCTATGACTGACAGGAATCCAAGTTTTTACGAACCAACAATAAACACACGGCCCGACGTAAGTGCATTGTGTTCAATGTTCCACCATCATGCGTTTTGGCAAGGAAGTAAGTCGAGCAATGTACTTTAGAACGAGAACAAATTTGCATTTGTGCCTGCGTCACTGTAAAAAAAATACATAGCCTCAAGTCTGCAGACAAATCAAATTTGTCACACTCTTTTTGATTTAAAGGTGGAAATATGAGGATGTTTTCCCAATTTTTTAATAGCATTTTGGTGGCAATTTAATTTAATGTTCAACAAAACTGTCTTTAAAATACCGATGATTATGCAAAATTGTATTTTCTCACGTCGACTCACTACTACATCTCCTTGCTTCACTGCTAACGTTTAGCTTTATATACCTTTTAATGAACAATTTATCTAGCGTTGAAACTCACCACATCTATGATTTGTAACAATGTGAAGCCAAGTTCCACGATGAGAGGAGCTGAGTCGTTCTGGACCGGTCTCTCCAGGCGATTGTAGTCCACCAAGAGTTCCTGGTAGAGCTTCCTCTGGTACACACCACCATGGCAACCTACAAGACAAAAATTTACAGATGGTAGACATGAATGAGGGAAGATTTTTAAACCCTTGATATTACTGTATGTTCTTAAAGTTTTTGTTTTGGCGGCTATTTTTGGTGCAGTTAGACTTTCTGGCTAACTTTTACTGTTTATTTTTGCCCTTTGTTTAGTTCTCTCAGTGCTTCCACTTTTAACATTTTGTAATTTCATATTAGATTTTATCTTATATTATTTTTTTATTTTTTCTCCAACGATTTTAACAGTCTGGGATAACGTTGAGTTGAATTGGATTGCCTCATGTTTGCCCAAAACATTTCCCAGTCTCCACCTGCATCTTCCGGTCCATCCTTGACCCCTATTAGCTGCTGTCTCAAAATATTCCTGCAATCATCCAGTGACAGCCAAGACATGAGGACACCCAGAGTGAATGAAGGGCACTGCCTGACTAATTAGTTAATAAAGCACAGGCAAACAAAGATTAATGACTGACACTTGATTTGGGTGCCCAGTTGTTCTGTGCCCAGAATGACAAAGAAGGCAGTGTGACAGCAAATCCACACTGTGGAAACGCTGAAAAAAATGTGGACCCAAAAATGTCATTGTCAAAATAAATGACTTTCTTAAAAGTAAGTACAGAACACTAGTCCATATAATCTATTCACACATCCATTTTCTACTGCGTAATCCTTCTCAGGATTGCTGAGGGGCTTTGGCCAATCGCATCAGTCAACGGGCCAGACGGGGGTTACATCCAGTACTGAACACTCCATCTCAGGGTGCCATTTAGGGACATCAACCATTTACACTCACTTTTCTGGACAATTAACCTAGCCCACATTTTGCATGCGAGCCTCCTGCAAACTTATCAAACCTGTGAATCACTTTTTCGATTAGAATACCTTTTGTAATCAACCACAGAAGAAATTGTCAAGAATTTAAATGGGCAGAAAACTTTATATTTTTTACAATTTCTAGTTTGTCTTTGTTTGTTTATGTAAGGGAAGTCTGGTGCAGACACACCTGGGGATGTGCGAGCTGCCACTCAGGGGTGCGTGAAAGTGCATAAAAATTTAATGGTGGTTCGGGAACTGCTGGTTTTTATAATGGTGACAGACCAAACAATTAAATAGTGTCCCATTAGGTGGCAGTAGATGGCTTTAAAAACTAAAGATGAGAGAGCATTTGAGCTGTTGGAGATCTTAGTATAGTACTATTGTATCTTTCTTTAATTCCTGCAAGTATAGTAGTGTTATGTTCAACTAAACAGGCCCAGGTTTAATTCTGAGTCTATTTTAAGTTGTGATTAAATTATTTTGTCTGTATTTTTTCTATACATTTTATTAACTGTTGTGCGACATTCCTACTGTTAACTATATGCTTTGGATTGATTGATTTATTTCCAGCAACTTCAATCATTTTTGACAAATAGTTACGACGGTTAAAAACACTCTGCAAGTAGTGACTCCTCATTTTTTCAGGCCCTGGTATCCTCGGGAGTATAAGTTAGTATAATCAATGTAGATCTAAGGATTTGTCTTGGGTTTCCAGTTTTTAATACTCTGAGGAAATGATATCCTTTATTTCACATGAATCGAAAGTGTTGTTCCTGCATATTTTAAAGGCATAGGAAGAGAAAAGCAAAATGATATCCTTTATTTCACATTTCATGAATCGAAAGTGTTGTTCCTGCGTATTTTAAAGGCATAGGAAGAGAAAAGCTTCAGTGGATGTTTTTGTTAATGCTTCACTTCTTCAGCAAACTTGTCTGACAGCGTGACCTCTCCTGTTAAAGAGGTCACTGGGGTTTTAAGGAAAACCCGATAACTGTCTTGTTACATTGTGTTTTGTCAGCCCGAGGGCGACTACAGCGGTGACTCCTTCTCGGCTGCTTTCACACTCAATTTTCCATGAATCCTTCAGCCTGTGTGGATGAACTGCGGCAGACTTATGGATCCAAATAAGTTCCGTTTTTCACTTTAAATTTCAATGATAGAGCTAAAAGTTAGTGATGTATTTAACGAAAGTTTTCAGGACAAAGACGGAAGGAATGTATTGATTCGTGTCGATATAGTGAGAGAGCAGCACAGGGGCTGATGAACAGTGTGGGAAACTGAAAACCTTCATCGAGGTTTGTTTTAGTTTTGTACTTTCTATGTCTAATTAGCTATTAATTATGGTTCAGGGTTGGCTGTGAAAACCGCATAGTTATTAAGATTTTAAGGTGGACATTGGCTTGGACTGTAGTTTGCCAAACTGCGATTTTCACACACGCTCAAAATCTGTAGAGAGTACAAAGTGACAGACAGATGGTATTCAGGAATACCCTGGGAAAAAAAGAAGAGATTAGAGTGCAATAACCAGGCAGACCATCTTGACAAGACAGCTTTAAGAACCTAATTAACACCTCCATGATAAACTGTAGCCACATAAATCACGTCAACTCACAATAAATTGCTTTTATTTTTTAATGACAAACACATTCGAATAATATTGTAGAGCAGTGTTTCCCAACCTTTTTTGAGCCATGTCACATATACATCATCAGGAAAAACCACATCACAAAACAAAAATCTCATGTAAGGAAATAAAATAATTGAAAATTGACTAAAAATGTACTCCTGTTTAGTTGAAGACATCGCTGATATACTGGCAGGAATTGTAGAAAGACACTCACAAAACCCTTCGTCAACAGTTCTGATTACCTTTTTTTTTGTTTTAAACAACCATCTGCTGCCACCTAGTGGAAGAGGATTTAATTGCTCTGCCTGTATCACAAAACAAAAATCTCATGTAAGGAAATAAAATAATTGAAAATTGACTAAAAATGTACTCCGTCTTAATGTCTTAAAGTGTATAAAAATCACAAAAAAATCATCTCGAAAGAAAAGACACTAAGATGTTATCGTTAACTTGCTGCTTTACATTTGACAAATTTGATTGTTGATAGTGTCGGATATTAAATAGTCGTATGGAGTCATTCCTATCATTACCATTGTAGCTTACTACAACAACAAACTACCAATTTGGTTACCATAACTCTTACAACTACCACATCCTCACCGTATGGACCTTTTACTAAACATAGCAATTGCTTCATTACCCTTGGTGTAAATGGAGTTATTCCCTTCTTTTACAGCAAGGACACTCCAGTGACCTACAGTACAGTAAGTAGGTCAGCTGATACAGTGTGTCTCTTGGAAGGCACAATGAGAGCAATTCAAATTTTAAAAACACTTGTCTTATTTAATGGTTGATATCATAGCTCAGCGGATGGTCAATGCTGACACAATACCTTCCTAAAACTGAGAATGGTCTCTCGAGCGTTGCGTTTGGGTCCTGACTCCAGCTCAAAACGTAACAGTTTGCTTCCTAATGCATCACACACCTTATAATAGTTGTTTTTTCCCTTCCCAGACCTCAGCAGTAAACCCAGCCCAGGTTTATTTGTTGCATGAGACACAAAGTCACTAGATAGATAGATGTGCAACAGAAACAATGAAAGTACCATTTCAGAAGCAAGCGCCATCTATCAACTTCAAGCAGCTCCGATACACTTGCTCATTGCAATAATGGTGTCTCATATTTCAAGTTTAGCGACCACTATGGGTCTTATTTGATATTCAACGATTAAACCTCCAATGGGTCTAACAGCAATATTGGCCTTGTTATTGGCTTGGTTTCTGCAGCAGTCGATATGCTGGCGATTCACTTTTCTTTCTAGCCATTCATCCTTGAAATCACTCTGAATGAATTTTACAGACTTGGTCTCCACAGTGTTTTCATTGTTTTTGTCTCTCACTGGTGTGACAAATCAATAAGTATGAATCCCCTGGATGGGCCTGACATGAATTCCCAAATTATAAATTCAAGTCACAACTCAAAGGGGACTTGGTTTTATTTATCTAGTTTATTGAGGCTGGAAGATAGTGGTCTGTACTGGTCAGCCATTTATATACCAGTATATTGAAACTATCAGAGTTGCTGATAGTTTTGTAAAGTTGTACTTAAAACACTGCGACAAATCAATTCAGTCTTTAAAATAAACTCTGGCCTTTATGGAAAATCATTTTTGCAAAAACATAAAAAAAATAGTCTAAGCCCCTGCTCGGAAACCTCGCACTGGAGTTCATTACTTGGCCATTAAATTTGTAACCAGGCACAGATTTGTGACTCATCACTGCACACTATACAAGGATATTGTTTGGAAGCCAGTAGCCATTAGCGGAGAACTGCATTTAGCTCATAAACAAAGCAGTTATTGTTAAATTATCTGGTTATGTATCATCTTTACACTATCCAGAAATCTGTTTCACACTGCACTAAGTCTGGAGATTTTCTCACAATTGAAAACAAGCCGAAAATCCCAGCTCCTCAGGGTGATATAAAACCTGCTTTTGAAAAGTAAACAGCAGGAAATGAAACAAAAAAAGTCAAATTACCTCCACGTTTGAGCTTCAAAATACCTGAACTTGAGTCAGATTGATTATCTTTGTACATTTATTTGCCCCAGTTTTAATATAAAATATAATATTT